CGAGCACACCAGGGATGGCCGGCGCCCCCGCCGGAGACCAGACCTGCGTCTTCGCTGCGTTGAGCTCTAGCCCCAGCGGCTCGAGGAGGGCGCTGAGGCGCGCCAGCGCGGGGGCGGCCAGGTCTGCCCGCAGCACCAGGTAGGTGTCGTCGAGGTAGGAGTAGAGCTTCGCGCCGGCGTCGTGCAGCTGCAGCTCGCGCAGTAGCTGCTCGAGGGCCTGTCTCTGTCCGATTGAAAAGCCCGCCGGCGACAAGGGGCACCCTTGATCGAAGCCACGGCTGCTTTGAACAGTCTCCAAGCGCCCCCCAGCTCCTCGCCAGTAGTGGTCGGCGGGACCTGCGTACCATGCCTCCAGAGCCCCGGCCACTTCGGGGACGGCCGCTCTCATGGCCTCCAAGGCGGGCCCTCGCTTCATCCGTTGAAACGCAGCTTTGACGTCAACCTTGATGAACGTTGCGTTCGGGCGGATTTCGGCTTGGGCTTGCAGGCGCTTCACCAAGAGAGCTGCGCCGCCCGCGCGTCCGACCCCGTACTGGTGCGGCCCTGCTGCCTCGGAGAGTTGCGTCTTCCGCGCCCGGGCCAGCGCGCGGAGGCCGAGGCGGCGGAACGTGGCCCCCACCAAGAGAGGGCGGACCTCCCCCGCGCCTTTAGCTAGCGCCACCAGCTCCCCTGTCCGAAGCGCCTGGAGTGTCTCTTGGGGCAGCTCTCCAAACGCCACACGCGCGGCGGCCCAGGCCAGCAGCCCAGAGGTCTCGTAGTCGCCGGCGCTGGCGGCGAGGTGCTCTAAGCGCGTTCCCATGAGGCCAGGTGCCGCCAGCCGGGGCGGGCGCCGCAGGAGTTTGCGCACCTCGTCCTCGACCTGCTCCCAGAGCTCCGCCGTGGGCGGCTGGCGCTGCAGGGGTGGTGGCTGCTGCCCCGGTCCGTCGTCAGGGAAGCATGCCTGCAGCTGGCGGAACGTATCCGCCGTGCGCGGCGCGAGCGGGGCACTCGCGGCAGCAGCCAGGGCGCGAGCCTCCTCTCCAGCAGCGGCCAGTGTGTACACCCGCTGTGCCCTCTGCTTCTTTGTGGCTGGCCGAGCCGCCCCCCTCCTCCTCCTCCTCCTCCACCTCCTCCCTCCTCCTGCCTCCTCCTCCCCCCTTCCCCCCCCTCCCCTCCTCCTCCCCTCCCTCCTCCTCCTCCTCCTCCTCCTCCCCCCCATGCCCCCTCTCCCCTCCCCCTACCCCCTTCCTCCTCCTCCTCCTCTCTTCCTCTCCTCCCTCCCTCCTCCTCCTCCCCTCCATCCAAACCACCCACCACCACCACACACCACCATCACAACCACGCCACAACACGCTAAAAAAAAAACGCACGCACGCACGCACGCACGCGCACCACCACCCACTACGCACACGCGCGCGGAGCCACATGTCCGCTACGACACGCGTCCGCGGATAGAGAAAATCAGCGCCATGGTAAGGGATGGGAGGGAGGGGTAGGATGTCAGATGTTGACGCGAGCGCACCTAACTTGTCCCCCTCCCCTCCCCCTCCTCCTCCTCCTCCTCCTCCTCCTCCTCCTCCTCCTCCTCCCTTGCGCCCTCCTCCTCCTCCTCCTCCTCCCTCCGTCCCTCCTCCTCCCTCCTCCGCCTTCTCCTCCTCCCTACCGTCCTCCCCTCTCCCTCCTCCTCCGCCTCCTCCTCCTCCTCCTCCGCCTCCTGCACCCTCCCCTCCTCCTCCCCCATCCCCTCCTCCTCCTCCTCCTCCTCCTCCTCCTTCCGCTCCTCTCCTCCCCCTGTGCTCCTCCGCCACCTCCTCCTCATCTCCTCCCCCCTCCCTCCCTCCTACTCCTCCACCTCCTCCTCTTCCCTCCTCTCCTCCTCTCATCCTCCTCCTCCTTCTTCTCCTCCTCCTCCTATCCTCCCCTCCACGTCCACCTCCCACCTTCTCCTCCCTCCTCCCCTCCCTTCGCCTCCTCCTCCTCCTCCTCCTTCCTCCCCTCCTCTCCTTCCTCCTCCTCCTCCTCCTCCTCCTCCTCCTCCTCCTCCTCCTCCTCCCTACCACCTCCTCACCCTGCTCCTTCCTCCTCCTCTCCTCCTCCTCCTCCACCTCCTCCTCCTCAGCCCCTCCGCCCTTCCTCCTACCTCCTCCCTCCTCCTCCTCCTCCCTCCTCCATCCTTCTCCCGCCTCCTCCCTCCTCCTCCTCTTCCTCCTCCTCCTCCTCCTACTCGCCGCCTCCTCTCCTCCTTCGCCTCCCCAGTCCCTCCTCCCTGAGCTCCTCCTCCTCCGCCTCCTCCTCCTCCGCCTCCTCCCCCCACCACCTCCTCCCATTTCCTACCTCCTCCACCTTCCTCCTCCCGCTTCCTCCTCCTCCTCCTCCTCCTCCTCCTATTCCTCCTATTCCTCCTCCTCCTCCTCCTCCTCCTCCTCATCCCCGTCGTCCTCTTCCTCTTCCTCCCCCTCGTCCTCCTCCGTGCAACCGTGGTCGTGGTCGTGCTGTTTGTCGTAATCGTCTGTTCGTGGTCGTGGGTCGTGGTCGTGGTCGTGGGTTGTTGTCGTAGTCGTGGGTTGTGGGCCGTGGTCGTGGTCGTTGTCTTCGACCCCTGGCTCTGGGAGGCGGCCTCTGGCGAGCAGGAATATGGGGGGAAGAGGTTCGAGGTTGTGGGCCCGAGAAGCTTTCTGCACTTTCTGCGGCCTCCAGGGGCCGCTTTCGGGCCCCAGGACCGTCAATAAAGGACCCGGGGTGAAAATCTACGCCAGATGGACTGTGGGACGGGTCTGGGGACCGATTTAAAAGCGGAGTCTGTACGAGAGACACGCGTCCCAAGGATCATCAGCGCATGCGTGCAAACTACTAGCCAGGCGGCGAGATGGCCCAACGGTTCCCTAACGAGTTCCAGGAGCTTCTGGCGGCCTCCAGATGGTTTCTGCTCGGGCCCACAAGGGCCGTGAGAGACCCTGTATTGGGGCTGTGTTCGGGCCTTCCCGGCCCCTCTGAGGACCTCCGCGAGCTCTATCGGACCTCCCTGTGTGTCTCCTGGGCAGTCTCGGGGAGCTCTCGTGTCTTCTGCCGCCTCTGGAGGACTGCCTGGGCGCCCCTATGGGCCGTCTTGGGAACCTTTTGGTGCCCTTTACGGCCGTCTTGGGGTTGCCTCGGGGCTCTCCTGATTTGGCCGTCTTGGGGCGATCTTCAGGGCCTTTGGGCCGACTTAGCCTGTCGGAAGCCCGGAACAACCTCAGGACATGTAGTGTTCCTTGCTTCTAGAGGCCCTCCTTGGGGTCCTCTGTGGTCCTTCCAGGGCCACCTTGGAGGTTTCTTGGGCCGTATTGGGCCGTCTTGTCTCGGTCCGTGATTGACACCGTCATTGATCGCCACTATCAGCTTCATCCCCATCACCCTCGTCGTCGTCGACATCGTCCCCGCATCCGCCATGCCATCGTCATCGCCATCGTCATCGTCGTTGTCGCCGCCCAGCTGAGCTTTGAGTGTTTTTTTTGCGATCGAGCCATGCACCCTTCCGAAAAATTTGACGCGTCGTCGCGCGTGCACATCGGATTCCTCCAAAAGCTGTAGGTTTCGTTGGGAGTCCAAGATCGAGGTTAACGAACACTTATAGACACACTCATAACACACAACACTTGTTTTTCAACAGTAGTTCTCCCAGACAAAAACTGCGCCGCGCACTTGCGAAATTTATCTGAAAGCCATCGGTGGACAATTTTCTCGTCAAGCGAGACCACGTGGGCCTCTTGCTCGCGCATGTCGGAATCATTCGAACGCCCTTGCGCGCTTGCTGGGGGGGGACACGATCCCGGTCAACGTACCATGCGGGCCACGCGCGCGCGTCGGCCGTGCGTGCATGTCGAAATCTTTCCAAAATTTTCATCAACGACATGTGAACATCATCATCGTCCTTGGCGTGACCAGCGTCGGCGCCGTCATTGGCCTTGCCGTCGTCATCGCCATCATCGTCACCATGATCGCTGCTATCATCATCGTTTCCGCCGTTGTCGATGTTACCATGACACCTCGCCTGCCCGAGTCACCGACCCGCCCTGAAGTGCCCTTGCGCCAGCGCGGCCCGTGAGATGCGTTGGGAAGTCCCCATCGGTCAGACCCACTGCGGCCGCGTCGGTTATGCCACACCAGCTGGCCGCTTTTCGCGCGAGCTCGTGCACGCTCGTGCGGCCGCAGAGATGCGCCAGCCAGTGCCAAGCTGTCATCGCGAATGATGCCGCATGGGCTTTGCAAGCTGAATTGCGGGTGGGCTGATTGCGCGAGCAGTGGAGTTGACAGTTCAAGTTCTGCATAGTGGATGTGGATTGCGCAGAGTAGATTACACCATGCACGCGTTATACGCCACACTTATACAGCGTCAATGCAACAACTGATCGTGCTGGGTCCACGTTGGAATGCATTTTCTCAGTGCCATACTCCTTCGACAGCGCACGGTTGTTCAGTCGGTTGCTCGAGTCGCTGGGCAGGACCCCCTGATCCGAAAGCCGCGACCCTTGTCAAGCCGCCTCCTTGGTATAGAGCATGCAGGCAGTCTTCGGCACCGCCGCTCCGCAGCAGCACGGCCAATCACCTCTTGCGGGGCACTCGGGCCTTCCACGCAGCTCTGGGGCGCTCTGCATGTCGGCGGGGTCCACCCCCGTGCCCTCGGGCCGCCGCGCAGACGCGGCGCCCGAGAGGCTCACCTCTGCGGCGGCGGCAGGCGGCGCGCCGTGGGCGGAACCGCTGGGGCGGTGGACTTCTGAGGGGGGCCGCATGTGAACCCCACCCCAGATTTCGTGATAAAAGGGAGGGGATCTGGACCCTCCAAGACAAGCCATTTCAGACCTGCCCCGTGGGAGAACCCTCCAAAACATCGTCCCCAGACCCCCCAGGCCCTCCAAGATCGCCTGGAAGAGACCCCCCCCGAAATGAGACCCCCCTCCCTTTATTACGAAATCTGGAGTGCCCCTACCCCCCACGACTTCTGAGGGAGGGGGTGGGGTTCACTTCGCTCGGGAGCTCCCGAACGAAGCGAACCCCCCCCCCCCCTCGGAAATCGTGGGGGGTAGGGGTAGGGTTCACATGTGGCCCCCTACTTCTGGCTCTGGGGTGGGCGTTGCGCCCAACAGGATTCCGGCGGGGTACTGGGACTGCTCGCCGTCGCCGATGTGCGGCCCACCAGACAGCGTGCAGTGCGGCCGCAGCGTGCACGACCGCCGCGCAGTGGCGCCGCCGGAGCTCGTCCGCAACGGTGGCGAGGAGGAGACGGAGGACTTCCCGTCGAAGCTGCTCCTCTGGCCCGACACGGACGACGAGGGCGAACCCGAGGTCAAGTTTGCGTGGGAACTCTGGCCAGTCCAGGCCGCCGAGGCGCACCGCCCGTGCGCCCGCGCCCCACCGGCGGCGGTTGGGCAGGCGTGGGCACCGCCGGGCCCCGGCGGCTCCGTGGAGCACACCTCGGCACCGCACTCCTGCGAGGGCAGGCGGCAGGCGGCGGGCCCGGCCGCGCCGCCGGTGAGTGCGCGGCGCCCACCGGGCGTCCACGCCGCCCCGGTGGCCAGGCATCAGCGAGCGAAGAACGGTATGACATAAACTTCTTCGCTGTCGGGGGCGCCTGTCCCCGACAGCGACAAAGGTTATGTCATGCCGTTCTTCGCCCGTCAAAGGCAGGCCGTGGCAGCTCCAGCGACGGCCGCCGGGGCACTGCCGCCGGGCATCCGCGGGGTCCCGGCGGCCCAGGAGGCCGGGGCCGCTGCTGCGGCCAGGGGCGTGGCGGCAGCCGCTGCCCCCGTGGCGCCCCCCACGGCCCAGGAGATGCGTGCCCGCGCTGCCCAGGAGTTCTAGGCCTCCTAGATGGGGTCCGAGCAGATGGGGTCCGAGGATTGCGCCGCATCGCCGATGCATCGACGCTGCGGCTCGATGCGGAGCCCGATTTTCTCCACGCGGGTGTCGCCGATGCATCGCCGACGTCGCCGATGCATCGCCGATGTATCGCCGATGCATCGCCGATGCATCGCCGATGCATTGGCGATGCGGCGCGATCCTTCGACCCCATTTACTCGGACCCCAACTAGGAGGCCTCTAGGAGTGGAAGGAAAGCCGGACGGCTCGCCGCGCCAACCAGCCCAGGATCACCACCCTGGTGGTGCGCAATGTGCCCGTCTTCATCTCCCAGCAGGATCGGGGCTGGACAGACCTCCGACCCTGACACGTCGATTAGTGAATTGGCCGTTTTCGGTTCGCGGGAGGGCGCCGCGGCCGTCATTTTTGCGGGTCCAGGTCCATCGGTTTCGGTCCCAGGCCGTTTTCACTAAGGGGAGGTCTACTAGAGGGAGGTTTGTCCAGCGCCGACAGGACTTCATCGACGAGGTCAACCGCAGTGGGTTCGTGGAGAAGTACGACTTCATCTGGCTCCCGAGAGATTTCAAGGACGGTTCTGGGAGAGGCCTCGCATTCAGAAATTTCAAGAGTGTGGCGGCGGCCAGCGCCTTTGCGGTCGCGTGGCACCGCTCCAGTCGCTTCAGCACCACTGACGAGGCCAGCTTGAAGGTTCGTCTCAACGTGTCCAACGCTGATCTGCAGGGCTTGGAGGCTAACATGCGCAAGTGGACTTGCGCACGGATGGCGCGCGTCAAGAATCCAAGTTTCTTGCCTTTTTGTCCTTAGGGAAGCATGGCCAGAGCTGTGCGCCGCAGGACCCAAAGCCTCAGAGCCTGACGTTATCGCCGCGACGGAGCCCCGCCGAGTCCACAGTGCTGCCGCCAGCTGCATCCATATGTGTGTGTGTGTGTGTGTCATTGCTTGTTCAAGTTCCGTGTCGTGAGCTGGCGTAACGGGATGTCGATCATTATTTATTCGCTTCGCTCATTCCGCCGGTCCGTATTGTGCCATGGCAGGCGTTTGCTTGCGCGTTCGCAGCTTCTTGGGGCCTCTTGGGGGCCGCTTGGGGGCCGCTTGGGGCCTCTTTTTGGGCCTCGAGGGGCCTCCTCTGGGGGGGCTCCTGGGCTCTCTTGGGGGGCCTCTTGGGGCCTCTTGGGGCCTCCCGGGCGCCTCTTGGGGCCGAGAGCTCGGACTTTCCGTGAAGGGTTCCCCTGTGGGTCCCCTCTTGGGGCCGTCTAGCAGCCGTCTCGGGCCGTCTTGGAGCCCTCTTGGACCGTCTTGTAGCCCCCTCGTGGGCATCTTGGGCCGTCTTGGGGCGATCTCGGAGGCCTCTTGGGCTGTCTTGGAGCGTCGGGAAGCCGAAAAGGCGAGAACGCCCAATCCATCAAAGACCAAAGGGGCATCGATTAATTTTGCCTCTTGGGGTCCTCTGGGGAATGCTCTTGGGGGCCTCTTGGTCCGTCCTGGGGCCATCTTGGGCGTCCCGGAGCGATCTTGTCGTGTCCCGGAGGCCTCTAGACTACAGGACCATCCAGAGGGCCGCTTGGGGGGCCTCTGGGCCGCTCTTGGGGCTCTTGGGAGGCCCTGAGGGCGGCGCCCAGCAGCAGGGCCATCTCTGCTGGGAGCTTGCCGGGGGACCTGCCCAGGGTACTCGTCGGCCGCGGGCCCCCTAGGGCCGCCCCGCGCGCGCGAAGCAGAAAACATGTTGTTTACCAGTTGCCGGAGATCAGCACGCTTCTGGCCTGGCGATTGTTTCCATGGCGGGGGGAAAGGAAGAAGACAGGGGGTTCAGGCGACGGGTGGTTGAGGGGCTGCGCATTTTTACATTCAGCGCGTCTCGTGCCCTAGGATCGAGGTGGCGATTTCCTCCTTGAGGCGAACTGCCGAGGGGAATAAAGCTGTTTAGTGGAAGTGATGCACGGGAATGATGAGCGTTCCGCTTGTCGCCGTTTTATATCAAGCAATTTTCCACCTGAGGAGGTGGATGGCCGCGCTCGCCGGGGCTTCGCTGGCCAAGTAGGGGCCAGGCTCTTCATTGGTGTTCGGCTGTGTTCTGACAGGCGCTGGGCACTTGGCTTGGGCGCGAGAGCAGCGGCGGCGAGTCGACCTGCGTGTGCAAGTTCGAGGGCGCTAGCGTCGACTCGGGCTTGATCTCGCTGCCGCAGCGCCAGCTCGAGGGGTGCGGAAGGATAACCTCGTCCGCCAGGAGCCCTTCGTGAAGGGCTGGGCCGTCTACGACTTGGTGTTTGTCGGGGTGCGGGTGGTGTTCGCTTTCTTCTTGGGCCTGCTTGCGCGGGATCTCGCTTCCCTTGCTGTTCTCCGCAGGCCAGATGCCGCCGAAGATGTCGCACAAATTGAACATCGTGGAGCGCCTAGCTCGTCTGGTCTGGGTGTTCGCCTTCGACGAATTGGCCGATAACTAGTGGCCCGAGCGTGTGCTATGGGAGCCCCTTGGGGGCACGCGGTGTGTCATGGTGACCCACCACCTCGACCTGCACGACGGGGACCTTGAGGAGGCCCTGGGCTTGAGGTCAGTCGGGCCGCGCGGCGGCATCGGCACGGTCTACGGGAGGCTGCGGCGCACCGACATGGACGAGTTCGACCGTCGACGGTTTGAGCTTCTTCGGGCCGCCCGCGAGTGTGCTGAGCAGATTCGTGCCGAGGAGGGCCTTCCTGCTCCTGGCGACGGCGGCCCCATGCTTTTGGGTGACGCTGCCGCCGGCGATCCTGCCGGAGCCGGACTTCCACCACTTCCTGCCCCTGCTGGTCCGCCGGCTCTCGGCGCGGGCGACTCGGGGGATGCACTTCGGAACTCGGAGGCGACCGAGGCCCGAGACGGCTATGAGATCGACGACCTCATCTCGAGGGTGAGGGCCAAGGTGGTCTTCGGCGATCGAGGCGTGCCTGAGCTGTCTGCTGGGAACACGTTGGCGGTGGCGCTGACCGGCACCACGTCGCGGCCCACGCCACCCGACCACAATGACATCCTCGGAGATCGGAGCAGACCGTTCCCGGGCGCGGTGAACGCGATGCAGCTCGTGAGCGTCGAGGGCTGGCCTATCGTTGGTCCTCGTACTTGCTTGTGGTTGCCCACGCAGCTCGTCAAGCTGAACTTCACCCCGATGCAGAGGTGCCACTGGTGGCGCCAGATCCTCGGCTTGTCTGCTGAGGATACGGAGGTTGACGAACATACCTTTCTCAGCGAGGTGCTGGAGGTCGGGTGCCAGATCGACCAGGTGTGCCCGCCCAGCCTCGTGTTCTTCGAGATGGTGTGCTGGAGGTGCCAGCTGTGGGAGGAGGTTAAGGAAGCCGTGATCCTGAAGGAAAGGAGGGAGGGCCGGGAGGAGAAGCTCCTGGCCGCTGGTGTGGGCCCTGCCAGGGCCGCCTGCAGGAAGGCGCCAACCCCTCTGGTCAGCCGGGGCCCAAGAAGAAGCCCAAGAAGCCGAAGACGGCCCCCAAGGGCGCCGAGGGCACGGGCTAGCCCGCGCTCTACATCTCTCTCGGTGGTGACGGCTGGAGCCCCCCCGGCCAGCGCGTCACATTTCGCAGGGGAGGCACCCGTGGACTACCCGGTGCCGCAGTTTTGCGTCATGGACATTGTCGACTCGTCTCGCGACCTGCTTCCGATCCCACTGGGTGTTGGGCTGGATTCAGTACTGCATGGCTCGGGCCCGCTCGGGCTGTCACCTGCAGCCCAGCGCCGGAGTGCAAAGCGTGATCGACAGAATCGCCGGTTGCGAGATGGTCTTCGTAGCTTGAACGCGCTGGGAGGTCAGGGGCGACAAGTTGCTACTGATGCGGCGCTCACAGAGGCCCAACGCGTCGCTGTGCGCCGCCTTGCTGGCCTGTATGGTTCGGTGAGCTTCCCAGATTCGCACTAGGATACCCATGCTTCGTGGAAGACGTTGCAGGGACTTCGGCCGGGCTACACTGAATCCGAGTCGGAAGGTGGCAGGGCGGTCTACCAGCCGGGGATGATCTCGGCGCCCTGTGGAGGTGCTGGCCGGGTCGACTTGGGCTCGCTCACGCCGGAGCCGCTGCTCAAGATGCTGGAGGCTGGCCACGGTTTATTGCGCGAGCCCGCTGAAGTTCAATCCTCGCTCGGATCGCGCAATGATAATTTGCGTTATCTCGACCCAAAGCTGGCGCGGAGGGGCTGCTTTTTCGGCCGCGCTCTGTCGGAGCTGTTCGACGCGGGCGCGGCGAGGGTGGACCCCGGGAACGCCTTGGAGGAGATTGGTTTATTTTTCGCGCGGCGCAAAGACCACAGACTTCGCTTGATCGCCGATGCTCGCGCTGCTAACCTTCACTTCGTCGAGCCTGCCTACGCGGAGCTCGCTAGCCCGGAGGCCCTCGCCGCCATCGAGTGCGACGGGCCCGACATGATAGGGTTCTGCTCTGGGGGCGTCGATGCGTGCTCTTACCGGTATGAGCTGCCTGAGTGGGCGAGGCGGTACTTCACCTTGCCCACGATTAAGGCTCAGTGCTTGCCTGCTGCGCTGCGTGGTCGGTCGGGGCTGGCTCGCGACACTTCAGAGCTCAAGTTCAGGTTCCGCGTCGCGCCGACGGGCTGGAGCTGGGCGGTCCACCTGACACAGCAGGGCCACTTACACGCCGTGGAGAGAGCGCTCCAGAGTGGCCGCTGGGTTCTCGACGAGCGGCCCGGCGTTGACCTTCGGCATGGCGACGCGAAGGTGCTCTACATCGACAATTTCGCCGTCGCCTCCGTCGACCAGGCGCGCGCCTAGGGGGCCGCCCAGGTTATGCGCGAGGCGCTGGCCGAGCTCGGGGTCGTCAGCACCATCGAGGCATGCGACGGCAGCAAGGCCGAGCTGCTGGGCTGCGAGCTGGGCCGGACCACTGGCCGATGGCGTATCAAGCCTAAGCGTTTGTGGCGGCTCATGGGCGCTCTCGACTACCTGCTTGATGCCAAGGGCAGGAAGGTTACAGGGCGCGAGGTTGAGCGCGTCCTGGGGCGCATCGTGGCCGCGTGCACGCTGAGGCGAGTCGCTAGCCATGTTGTCCGCCTGCTACACCTTCGCGGAGACCTGGCCTGAAGCGCCAGCCGCTGCGGCCCACCGCTCGACGCGAGCTCTTCTGGGCACGCTCGCTGCTGCCTTGCATCGTCGGCGAGATGGGCAAGGCCTGGTCCTCGACGGTCACCGCCTACGACGCCTCACCTTGGGGCTACGGCGTCGTCGAGACGGAGTGGGAGCCTGCTGCGGTCGCCAGTCGCGGTCGCTTCTCTGAGCGCGCTCGCTTCCGCGGGCCACTTGCTGCTGCTGGCGCCCCCTGGGATCGCGCCCTGGAGGCTGAGGCGGCGCAGGCTCCGGGCGCCGCCTTGATCCTGACCGGCCGGGTGTCGGAGTTCCCCGAGGTCAGCGCGAGGGCCCTGACCGAGGCTACCTGGCGCGTGGTGGGCTGCGGGCGCTGGAGGCGGCGCGAGGCAATCCACTGCCTCGAGGCCGCCTCTGTCTGCTGGGCCGCGAGGCGCATTGTTAAGCACGCCCGGCGGCGTGGCCAGCGCCACCTCGTGCTGGGAGACAACATGTTCGCCACCCTTGCATTGGCAAAAGGAAGAGCTCCGGATCATCGTCTGTTGCTTGCCTGCCGAGTCGTCTTCGCGGTCAGCGTCGCGGCCGACATCCGGCTGCGCTGTCGGTGGCTACCCTCGGAGTGGAACCCCAGCGATCAGGCCTCTCGTCGGCGTCAGCCGCCTGGGCTCAAGCACGAGCGTGGGCGCGGGCAGCATGCAGAGGAGGGCGCTGACGGCCCGGTTGCCGATTCCGCCGTCCACCTGGGGTTCAGGCTCAGGCCCAGCCGAAGGGAGAGGCAGTCGATCCCGCTCGGCGCGCCGAGCGACCCGAGGCTCGGGCAGCGCAGCGAGGGCGCCCACCTTGGGGCGCTCGGGCTCTGGTCGGCGGCCGCCGGCCTCGCAGCGCAGGCTTGGGCTGACCGAGCAGCGCGGCGACGTGGAGGTGCGGCGCCGGGTCGAGGGAGGGCGGCAGCTAGTCCGCCCTCGCTTGCCCCGGCTGGCCGCCGAGAAGGCGAGGCTGAAGACCCGGGCGATCTACTTAGGCGTGCTGATGGCCTTGCTCGCCCGGCTCCGCCTGGGCTGCCTCCCGGACTGGGCGCGCGAGGACTGAGGTGGCACCCTGGTGGAGTTCGTGGAGTGGCTCTTTGACAAAGGCGGGGCTGCTGCGACTGCGAAGCGAGTCGGCCCCGCCCTGCTCTGGGGAGATCCTCGCCTTGCTCTGGGATCCTTGCGGACCACCTTCCCGGTCCTGCAGCAGGCGCTGAAGGGCCGGGTCCAGCGACGACCCGAGTTCTGGCGGCCCCCGCTGCCCCGGGTGTCGGTGGCCGCTGCGGCCCGAGAGCTGCTCGACCTCAACATGGGCATGGCAGCGCTCGGGATCATGATAGCGTTCGAAACTTACATGCGCCCCTCCGAGCTGCTGGCGCTCCTGACCGACCACGTCGTGCTGCCCATCCCAGGCGAGGCGGGGGCCGCCCGCTGGCTGACCTTCGTCATCCGGGCGCAGGAAGCGCTGGTGCCGTCCAAGACGAACGCGTTCGACATCAGCGTGCCGCTGGACTTGGGGAGGCAGTGCTGGCTAGCCCGCTGTATGGAGGTGGTGGTGCGCCGCCGTGGCCCGGGCAGTTCGCTCCTCGGCCTCGCGTGCGCGGACTTGGCCGCGGCCTTCAAGACGGTCTTGAAAGGGGTTGGTGCCCCGGCGCTGCAGGGCACCCTCTACTCGCTCCGCCGCGGCGGCGCCAGCCACGACCGGAGCATGGGCGCCGGGCCCTTGGCCGCCGTGCAGCAGCGCGGCAGGTGGCGCGCGTTCCAGAGCGCCACGCGCTACGAGAAGCACGGCCGCCTGGGCCTCGAGCTGCAGAAGTTGGGGCCAGCGCGCTTGGCGCTGCTCCGGCAAAGGTCGGCTGGTATCGAGCTCGCCTGCGAGAGGTGCTTCGGGTTGCGCTGGAGGCGACGCGCGGCCGGCAGTCCAGAGTGATTGTCGAAGTCTTCCCGGGCTCTGGCGAGCTCAGCCGGCACCTGCGCGAGAGAGGAGAAGCCGCGATAGAATGGGGCACAGAAAATGGTGAATACTTCGATCTGCTCATCCCTGAGGTGTGGCACGTTCTGCGAGGCTGGATCGTTTCAGAAGTGGTGAAGGCAGCGCGGCTTGGCACGCCGTGCCAAGGATACTCCCGCGCGCGCAGAGCGCCGCCACGTAGCCGAATGCCGAAGACAACTCGATCTCCGACGCATCCCCTCGGGCTCCCGGGCGCGCGCGACAATGACCTTGAGCTCTTGGCTGTCTCTAATCGTCTTGGCGCTATTGCGGGCGAGCTGCAGCGCCTGTGCATCCAGCGCAATATTCCCGGAGGGGGGGGGGAATCCTTGGCAGAGCTTTCTGTGGCTTCGGCCTGATCGGGCTTCGCTCTGGAGGTCTGGCCTGCTCGAGGAGAGAATGGTAGATTATTGCGTCTGTGGCGTGCCTTTTAGGGGCCACACTCGTTTGCGATTTTGGCGTTGCCGACCCGACCCTGGTTTAAACAATCTGCTCTGTCGAGGGCCACGGGGTCTCTGCGTGTTCAAAAGTAAACCTCGCGTCGAACTATCAGGCACAGCTGGTGGCCAATTCCTCACTGAGCTGAAGAACGCCTATCCTGCTCTCCTTTGCTCCTTCCTTGCCTCCTCTCTTTACCGAAGTAGTTCCCTTACGGAAATAACAAGAGCGTGGCAACTTTATAAATAAGCGATTTTTAGTGCAACGCTTGGTGGCGGGATGTCTGGTTTGAAGTTTGGAGTTTTCAAATGATTCGCCGAGGCCTTCAGTAAGTAGCAGTGCCTCGCCAGATGCCCTGTGAAGCCCCAAGCAAGTCACTGACTAGAAAAAGCGATCATGGAAATGATGCACGGGAATGATGAGCGCTCCGCCTGTCGCCGTTTTATCTCAAGCAATTTTCCATCTGCCCAAGGCCAGCCCAGAGCCTCGGAGGAAATTTGTAGTTTTGGCTGAAAGCGCTGAGTTTTCGAATGATTCGCCGAGGCCTTCAGTAAATAGCAATGCCTCGGCAGATGTCCTGTGGAGCCCCAAGCAAGTCGCTGATTAGAAAATGCGATCATTTTTTGTTGCGAGCATTGGTGGTGACACGATGTGTCGCCTCGCCAACGGGTCTCGACACGATGTGTCGCATCGCGAACCTGGTTTCGACAACTGGTATCGCATGTTGGGCGTGTGTTGACAAGATCTGTTCTGTCGGAGCAAGCTGTTAACCATACGTGTCGAGGCCAACACTGTTGATAACAATGGACGTCCAGGTCAAATCTCAGTGTCATCTGTATGCGTTGGCCTCAAGCGGCCAGAGCGGGCCTTGGTCCTTGCGTGGGCGTCATTTCAGAGGGCAACGACGCGTGTATTGTTCACATTGTCTATACTAGTGCACGCCATTCTATATGGTCTACGTGCTGAGTTTGTTTGAACCCCTGACTTGTTGCACACAATTGTGCGTTTGTGGTTTCACTTTGCGTGGCGCGCCAACATCTAAAAAACGGTCGCGCGCCGTGCGAGTGTGCATAATGGATCGAAGCAAGGAGAAGACACTCCCAAGACGGGCTCAATCTGCTTCCCGAAGGCAGCCAAACAAAAACCATAAAGGGCCCCATGCTGCCGCCAAGCGGCACCCATGAGGGTCCCAAGATGCCATGTCAGGTCCGGCCCAGGACAGCGGGAGCCAGACCTTCCAAGCGATGCCAAGTTGCCCCCAGGGAGCCCCAGTATGGTTTCGAAGGCCGCCGAGGGGCCCCGCGGAAACCCGTTATGAAGGCCCCGGGAAGGCCCCCCAGGGTCGAAGAATGAGCTAACATAAATGTACCGAGGGGCCCGTTTCGAGGCGAGCCTGGTGCATTTTTCCGGAATCTGCTTGTTGCCCATAGAGGCTTACGAGGGCTCCAGAAACGGCCCCAGGTAGCGCAGGAGGGGCCCAGAGGTGGTCATAATGAGCCCCCCTCGCTGCGACCACCCCAGGGCCCCTTTCGGGCCCCTCCTGGAGCTCTCTGGGATCACTTCCAGGCACTTTAAAACCGTTTTTGAAGAGCACAGCAGGGCCCCAAGTCGGCCCCAAGAGGGGCCCAAGAAGGACCCACATATGATCACACTAACAATGAGACCCCCTGGAGCCTTTAGGGCCCCTCTCGGGCCCCTCCTGGAGCCCGAGGGCGTCTGGAGGGAGGTGCTTCGGGCGCGGGGGGGGGCTTAAGGCGCGCGCGGGGGGGAGTATTTCGGGCGCGTGGAGGGGAGAGCTTAGGGCGCGCGGGGGGGGGGGGGGGGCAACGCCGATAATGGTCAATTGCGTAAGAAAGGAACCCCAGTAATTTCCAAACCACGTATCAATGCGTGTCAATAGGTTCAAGATGTGTCAAGTGTGTGTGTGTGTTGTGTGTGTGTGTCACTGTTGTGTAGCTGTACCAATTTCGTGAAAACTGCAAGCTGATTTTGTAACAACGAAAACTCTGGTAATTCAGAAACCACTGATCAGCATCTGTCAACATGATTCAGCGGTGCGAACTTTGTGTCAACCCCTTTCCCCCCTGGTAAATCGAATCCCAAACCACCCCGGTAATTCGCAAGCCAATCTAGGAATTTCCAAACCACTCTGATAATTCCCGGCCCGCCCTCTAGCAATTCAATCCCCGAATTTGCCCTGTAATTCCGCACCCGCTGGTAATTCACAGCCCCCCTTGCTGCCCTGCTGCCTGAACGCAAGCACAGATCGGTCGAAGCCCCGCAGGGCGCACCATCGCCAAGGGGATGCGTCACAGAGGGCGTCCCCAAACCCTTCCCTCCACCTCCAGAGTGCCAGAGTGCCTGAGCTCCCGAACTAATGTGCCGAACTGTCTTACACCGTCCCCATGGAAGCCGCTCGCCCCTGGGACCCCCAAGACTCCATGTCGCGCAACTCCTGTACCTATACCGTCGCTTCCCCTCTACCCGCCGTTCTTCCTCTTTCTTCCTTTGTTTCTTTGTCTGTCTGTCTGTCTCTCTCTCTCTCTTCCTCTCTTTCTCTCCTCCTCTCTTTCCCTCCCTCTCTCCCTCCCTCCCCCCCCTCCCTTCCTCCCTCTCCCTCTATCTATACATCTGTCTCTCCTCTATGCTCCTCTATGCTCCTCTCTCTCTCCGCCTATTCCGTTCGCCTGTCGTCCCCATCATCCCTTCATGCTCCCCTTCTTGTCACGGGCGCCCCTTCCTTTCCGCATGCCATTCCCCCTCCCCTTTCGTTTCCCATTCCTTGTTTCTCCTTCTTGCGCAATCCTCTCGCTCACCCCCGCTCTAATAAATCGCTTGCTCCCCCCCTCACAGCCCCTTCCAATGCATTCCCACCCGCAGTCCCGGGAAAGAGAACTGAGCTCAAGAAAGCTGCGACAATCGCGACTGGGCTCCCGGGGTCGAAGAGGAGACGCGCTGGGTGCTGATATCATATGCAGGGAATGTGATGTTCAGCCAGCAATGTGTTGTTTTTGCAGTTTGTCCAGTCTCATGTCGCGCAATGCACTTGGCGACGCGTCATTTGACACCTACACAAAACTTCAATACGTTCTTCGTCACCGACAGAACAGCGACACATTCTTTGACATCCACAAGCAACAGCAACACATACTTCGGCACCTACAGCAACACAGCGACACGTTCTTCGACACATATTCGCCACCCGCCCACAAAACACAGCTGTACCTGCTTCGACGCATACGCACAACAGCAACACGTTTGGTAACGTTCGTCGACACCTATGCAAATTGCCAACACGCTGGGACGAGCAAGCACGTATTATCGACATGATTCCAACACATCACGTCCCGAAGCGTTTTTCACTAACACTTTGGACCAACATAACGTTGATACAACATCCGCAAACGTGGGGATGAATCAAGTCAACACGGGAAGCATACATCGCCACCTCAACGCTAGGATTGTCGACGCCACAGTTCCTTTGTCCGTGGCACTTCGTGCGCCAGGGCCACGTGTCTGTCTTCGTGGTCACTCTCGTGTGCAGGTGAGCCAGTGCCGTCATACAATGCGTCAGAGGTGCGTCGTTGCCTCGACATGCTAGTGTAGGGCTGGATCTAAACGCTGTGTTGCTGGGCTTCGGATGTGTTTTGTTATTCGTTTCAGGAGGGAGGTACAGGAAAACAGGTCGAGCAAAACAAAACAACAAACGATGGTAAAACGAAGCACAACGTTTAGGTCCTGCCCTGTACCAGTGTACCAGCTGCCTATAATACTCTATCAAGCTGGTATTTATATCAGCTTTCCATCTGTGCTGGATGATTCGGCCCATCGCATTCATCCTGCCTCCGAATCTTTCTCCCTAATGGTACCTCTCAGCGCTTGCACAGGATGGGCCCTCTTGTGTTCAGACTCGCAGAGCCGTTCCAGCAGCGAGTAGGATCTGATGCTTCCTCGCTGGCCCTGAGGCCCCACAACCACCCCTGCGAGCACGCCAGTTGTGATCCGCGAGGAGGCCCTCTGGATCCCGTGAGGTTCGCAGGAACGGGCGCAAGCGGTCGACTACGGGAGTCAGAGTCTCGCCATTTGGGGAGGGGCTGCTCGGGAAGCAGAGCTGTATTTTTCCTGCCGTGGTACTGCAGCCACGCCTACGCTTCGGCGCACGACCAGGCGCCGGGGCTCCGCGCCCGCCGGCGATCCTGGCCAGCGGACATCCCTGGAGGCACCCCGAGGGGCCCGACGCGCCTCGCAGGCGCTCTTGCCCTCTCTTGGGGCCGCCTCTCCCCGCCAGGCGGCGGACGCGGCAGGGGACCTCGTTGGGCGGCGCCGCAGCAGCCCCGGTCTCTCGCTCCAGGGAAGGGGGGGGAGAAGCCAGGGAGGGCGCGATCGTTCGGAGGGCGCCGGCAGCGGCTCGCGCCGCCTCCGCGCGGCGGCGACGCCGGCGTGGGCGTTCTAAAGGCTGAGCACAGGGGCAGAGAGAGCCGGTGCAATTGCACACCGAAGGACGGGCTCGAGGGCCTCTCGGGGGGCCTCCGGGAGCGTCAGCTCCTTCGGGGTGCTGAGCGGGCCACGGGGTGTCCGAGACCAGAGCGCGCGTCGTCAATGGCGCCCTCCCTGGCCGAGGGGGAGGGGGGGGGGAGCAGTGGGGGGGCGGGCTCAGCGGAGCGGCTTTTTTACAAGTTTTTCAGTGGCATCGCAGCCAAGCCCTGGCTGCGGCGGCGCGCGGATCTGTCGCGCGCGCGGCAGCCTGGAACCGCTCTGCTCGGCTTGTTTGAGACGAGGGCCTCCGAGCACCCGCCCGCTGCCCATCGATGCAGCAGCATGTGGCAGTGCGGTGCCACCTCGGAACCCGAGCCTCCACTCCTCTGCCGAGGCACCCTGTGGCCTGCAGGCCGTCCAGATGAGGCTGATCTCGTGCAGTTCCGCGCCGGCAGGGCCCCGGGCCCAGAGACTCTGATCGCTTGCCAGCGCGGAGCGCGGCGAGGCTCGTTCACGATCGTTCGCTCCTCCCCTCCCTCCTTTCGCCCAGCCCCTTCTCGATCCCAAGTGCAGACTGCAGCACCATGGCTGGCGCCGGCCGCAAGGAACGCCAGGACTGGGCTTGCAGGAGCTGTACGACGAAGCGCGGCAAGCCGCTCATCAACTTCGGGACCTCGCTCAAGTGCCAAGGGTGCAGGCTCCACAAGAAGGACGTGTACGGCGGGCCTGTGCCGCCGAAGGAGCCCTCGATGCGGGCCCCAGCCAAGGGCAAGAAGCGGGCCCCGTGGACGGCCGAGGGCAAGCTTGAGGGCGAGCTCGCGGCCATGCGGGCGGAGCTCGACGCTGCCAGGAAGAAGCTTCGTACGCAGGAGTCCGACCAGGGCGGGGCCGCGGCCATGCACGTGGACGACGGCAAGTCAGGCGAGGACGCCTCGGCTGCGAGCGAGATCAAGGTTTGCGAGGCAGGCCTGGCCACGCTCAAGGACGTGCAGCACGACTGGGCCACGGGCCCGCGGGAGGATCTCAAGCGCAGGCTCGCCGCCGCCAAGGACAGGCTCTTCGCCGCCAAGCCGCTCCACGCGCGGGTGCAGGCGCTGGCCCACAGGCAGAAGAATCTGGCGGACAAACTCAGCAAGATGGAGCTGGCCGAGCGCGAGGCGGAGGACCGTGTCAAGAAGGCGCAAGACGAGCTGGAGCTCAAGCGGCATGGTGTCAGAGAGCTCAAGGCGCAGCAGGTGGCCCTCCAGGCGGAGCAGTCGGCACTCCAGCAGCAGGTCCCAGTCGCGCCAGAGGATCGTCCGCCTGGGCAGTCCATGGAGCACGACGTCATCAAGAACACGGGCGGCCTCACCCTCGGCGACCTGGCGCAGGCTCTCAGCGGCGCGCTGGCCGCTCACCCCGACGACACCATGCCGACCGCGGGCGATTTGCCGCAGCGGCTGGCCTCGGCGCTTGGCGGGCCCCTCCAGGAGCTCATGCTGCGGCGGCAGCGCGAGCGGGCCGCCGCCACGGAGGCAGCGAGCGCCCCTCGCACCCCTGCAGCGTCCGTCGAGGGAGACGACGCCGCCGCCGCCGCGCATGACGCAGGCACTGCAGGCGGCGCCGCCCCTGCAGCCGCAGCGCCGCGCTGGGATCCCGCCGCGATGGAGCCCGAGAAGCTGCGGCAGACCATGGCGGCGTTCTCACCAGGGCCAGCAGAGGAGACCAGCGACGCCATGCTGGCGCGCGCCACGGAGCTGGCCGTCAGGGGCTTCAATCCTTACTAAGCTCATCATCGCGATGTCCTGCACACTTGCGATGGCGAAAGGCACTATCACTACCAGCAACGTGACTTCCTGGGGTTCATTGGCGCCGTGCCTAGAGACCCTCGAGTCGCACGTCGTTCTCGTCCAGGAGCATCACCGACGGGACGAGGCGAAGCTCGCCGACCTGCAGCACGAGGTGCTGGATCACGGGTTCGCGGGCATCTGGGCGCCAGCAGTGGCAGGCCCCACCTCCGCGGAGGGCACTACGGGCGGCGTCGCGGTCTTGGCCCGCAAGAACATCCCCGTCACGGCCCCGCCGCTGCTGCCCTCGGCGACACTGTGGCCAGGGCGACTGGTGGCCGCCCACGTGCACTGGGGAGTCCGTGGCGGCATTGTATTCGTGTCGGCCTACCTGGTCGACAGCGTTGGCATGAACGACGTGAACCGAAGCATCTTCGGCGCGCTCACTCGCTACCTCACGAAGCTCACGGCCTCGGGCATCGATTGGATCGTCGGCGGCGACTTCAATGGGCCTCCCAGCTGCCTGCCCCTGGCGCAGTTGGAAAAGGCGGGGGGCCTCTGGCTAGCGCCGTCGGCCGACACCTGCCGCCCACAGGCGGGCAGCGGCTCGGTGCTGGACTACTTTCTGGTCGGTGCAAACCTGGCCAGCCGCATCTCGGCTCCGAGAGTGGACGAGTTGGGCATCACCTCCCCGCACCTCCCTGTCAACATGGAGCTGCGTGCCGCCGACCTGGACATGCGCGTGAGGATCCCGATCGCCCCCAGGGCGATTCCAGCGGCGCCGCCCATCGGCTGCAGCCGCGGTGTCGAGGACTGGGCGCCCACTTTGGCCCAGGTGCGCGCCACAACCAGCGCCGAGGAGCTGCCAGCAGCCTGGGACGCCGTCGTCAGCACCTTGGAGCAGGAGCTGTTGGACCGCTACGACCAGGTTGGCGAAGCGCGCAGGCGGTTCGAAGGACGTGCGGGGCCCATTGCGACCAAGCTGGCGCCAGTCAAGTGGAAGCCGCAAGGGCAGCGTGTCCGATTGGGGCCTGATGTCATCGCGGCCAAGGTCGCGGGCCGATGGGCGCGTCACTTCATGGGGGTCAGCGCGTTCCTCGCGAAGGCCAGCAGGAGGCTGCAAACCGCCAGCCTGCAGTGCTCCCTTGTCCCTGAGCAGTACCACGAGCTGGCGGACTTCGTCGTGAGGGCTTTGGAGTATGGGCGCGTGGTTATGGACAGCAAGAAGACGCTAGCACTGCTCCCGCATTGGGTGAGGTCCTTCTTCGAGCAGGGCTTTCGCGTGATCGGCAACACCGACTTCCTGGAGCAGGCGGGCCGCATCGTCCAGTTCGCCAAGGACGCCCACGCGGACGCGCTCAAGGTCAGGCAGCAGAGCTGGATCCAGTGGGCCAACGACAGCCTGCGGAACGGCGCTGGCAAGGCGCACCGCTTCACCAAGCTGCGGGCGATGCAGGAGGTGCTGGCGCAATGGCAGGGCACCCACACCGAGCTCACCACTGGACGGCTCGCCCAGACCTTCGTCCCGCAGCAGCAGGTCGCCAGCCAGCACCTGATCTGCGACCGGGAGATGAAGGCCTGGGAGGACGTCTGGTCGTGCCACAAGCTCGAGGCGCTGGAAAGGCCAGCTGACTTCGACGAATGGGACGACCTCGAAGACCTCACCGTGGAGGCGCTGCAGCGGGCCGCCTGCAGCTTCCCCACCACCACGGCGCTCGGCCCAGCGCAGATCGGCATGCGCGCGCTCACCTTTCTCACGGACGACGGCGTTTACACCTGCGGCCAGCTCTTCATGAAGTGCGAGGCGCTGGGGGCTTGGCCCAGCGAAAGGCTGTGGCACGCTATGTGCCGCATCCCCAAGGCCTCTGGCGGCTGCAGGCTGATCACGCTGATGCACTCGCTAATCCGATGGTGGTCGAGGGCTCGTGCCTCGACGTCCAAGGCGTGGCTGACGGCGCACCCCAATGCCAGCATTTGGGGCATGGGCGGCGGCAGATCGTCCTCCGACTCCGCCTTCGACCTCAACCTTGAGACGGAGGTATCGGACTGCCTGGACGAGCACGTCGTAATCGTCATGCTGGACGCCTGGAAGTTCTTCGAGACGATTAAGCCCGAGTGGCTACTCATCGAGGCGCGGCTGCTGGGCATGCCGCTGCGGTTGGTCTGGATGTTGATTGAGCTATACAGGCAGCCGAGGCGGCTGCAAGCTTTCGGCTCGGTGTCCTACGCGGTCGTGTCACATCAGGGCGTGCTCGCAGGATGCACTCACGCCTGTGCCATGGTCACCTTGCTCATGTTCAGGCTGCTCGAGCAGGTGCGAGATGCAGGCGTCACCCCGAGGGCCCTCATCGACGACGTCACCTTGCAGTGGCGCGGGAGGCGGCTCTCGCAACTGGGCGTGCTTTGGGCGGCCACCACCAGGTTCCGCGAGGGCGCCCAAGAGCGAGGCATTGTCGTGCAGCCCACCAAGTCGGGCTACTTGGTCTCATCGGACGCGGCTGCTCGCGAGTGTGCCCGACACGCGGCGGCCCGCAAGCTGACCAAGACGCGCTGGGCCCGCAACCTGGGGCACGATCTGGGCGGGCGCAGAATCGCTAGGCTCCAGACGGCAAAGCGGGTGCGGCAGCTCAAGGAGCGGCGCGGCAAGTTGGCAGCTTTCAGAGGGGCAGTGGGCAGGCGCGCTACCTGCCTATGGAAGACGGGCCTCATGCCGAGTGCGGCGCACGGTGCTGGGGTGTCAGGGCTCACCGACGATACGCTGCAGGTGTTGAGGGCCGAGGCTGGCAGGCTTGCAGGGGCTCGGCCAGGTGCATCGAGCGTCACGGTGTATTTAGCCACGCAGAAGGCGCGCGAGTACGACCCCATCTACGGCGCCACCTGCGACATCGTTTGCCGATACGCCAGCTGGATCTGGGAACAACGCACCTCCCTGGCTAGGCTCCACAGGGCCTGGGCCAAGGTCACGGAGCGGCTCGTGGGGCGCCCGTCCTGGGCAGGGGCTCGCGGTCCCATCGCCTCCGTCACGCTGACGCTCTGGCGCATCGGATGGCACATGTACTCCAGCACGACCCTGGTCACCGACCAGGATACGGCGATCAACCTCCTCACCACGTGCCCGAAGGACGTCAGGATGCATCTGACCAGCGGCGTGCAACGCTGGCAGGCGAGGCAGATCGCGGCGCACCACCGCCAGCACGGCGAGGTCAAGCCTTGGGTGCGGGCCATGCGGCTCTGCGTGGGCGACGGGCGCGCGGCTTTGGCGGAGGGCCCGTCGGCCACCAGCCTGCGTCACCACTGGGCGACGGTGGCCTGGACGCAACAGGCCCAGCACGACCTTGGGCTGGCGGCGGCGCCGAATTGCAGGGCCTGCGGACATCCGTCCGACTCGCCAGGGCACAGATTTTTCGGCTGCGAGGTACTCGTGCAGCCGCTCACAGAGGAGGAGCAGGACGAGCAGCTGCCGCCCGAGCCGATGCAGGCCATCCGCACCTTCATGTGCGACAAAGGCCTGCAGGAGGGCGGCAGCTTCGAGAGCGCCGGCTTCCAAATGTGCTTGCCCTGCATGCCGCCTTTCGTGCCGCCCGCCGCGGAGCAGGCCGAGGTGAAGTTCTGGGGCTGCTGGCCTAGCCAAGGGGCGGACACGGCTTCCTGCAGCAACGCCGTCTTCACCGAGGGCTCAGGCTTCGCGTCCAGCATGCCCGAGCTGAGGCGCTGCGGATGGGCCTTCGTGCAGCTTTCCCTCCAGGGACTGCCTGTTCGGGCGGCGTTCGGGGCGCTGCCAGGGCCGCTCCAGACGGTCGGGCGCGCGGAGAGGCACGCGCTGCTGCAGGCATTGCGGCTCGCGGGGCCGCAGCTCGAGTTCGTCTTCACCGACCTACTGTCGATGGAGAAGGAATGCAGCCACTGGGGGCAGGAGCTAGAGGAGGCGCGAGCGGCACATGCCACAGTGTGGAGACGGATTCGTGCCCAGCCAGCGCGGCCTGAAGTGAGATGGATCCCCGCGCATCAGGACATGGATGCGTACTTGGACCGAGGCCTCCACCCGCTGCTGTACTCTGGCAACATGTGGGCCGACTGGTTCGCTCGGCAAGGAGCCATGCAGCACACCGTGTCGAAGGTGTACGAGGAGTTCTACAACATCGAGCTGCAACACTACAAGAGCCTGGCAAATTACGTCGGCTGGGCGATGCAGAGGACGATGCACGCAGGCCGCTGGGATGCGCCCGAGCAGACAGCCCGCCCGCCAAAGGTGCCCAAGGTGCAGGCGGCGACTGTGATCAGCCACTCCCTTGTTCGCCTGAACGGGACGGCGGTGGTGCTGTGCCGCGCTTGCTGCAGGCAGACCAGCGGGCAGACGGGGCCCACATGGACGCAGTTCGCGCGTTCAGCTTGCGAGGCCAGCCAGTACACCGCGCTGCGGGCCGAGGCCATCATCGCGCACGTCGGCGCGCAGCCCATTGTGGTCTCGGAGGCGGGCGAGTTCGCTATGCAGGCGATCGAGCGAGCGGCGTGCCCCGAAGATGCGGGGCCCAGGCCAGCCGAGCCTGCCCCCTGGGGCTCAGGGGACGGCACCATCGAGATGCAGGGGCACAGGCTGAGGCGCGCAGGGCCCACCATCTACTGCGAGGTATGCGTGGCGTGGGCGGCGACAGGCTCCTCACTGGCCCTGGCTGCGCCCTGCGCTGGCCCGCCCAGCGCCGAGGGCAAGAACCAGCGCACCTACCTGTCCAACCTCATGGCGCGGCTCAAGAAGCTCAGCCAAGGGCTGCACCCCAAGACAGGAAAGGTGCTCACTTGGGGAGGTGCAGGCGAGGCTCCAGACGGCCCCAGAACATGGGCCACAGCGGCGGCCAGCGCGGCCGCGGGCGACATGGCCTCTGGGGGCGACGGCGCTGCAGAGAGGCCAAGCGGCAGGCACGCGCAGAAGGAACAGGGCGAGGCGACCAGGCCTGGCCAGGACCACGAGACGCGCGAGGTGCCTGCAGGTCTGGAGGGTCCGACGCAGTCCAGACCAAGAAGCCTGCTTGGCGGGTGCGACGGCAGGAGCTCCTGGAACGGATGCAGCGAAGGC